TGCCTCAGGCTATAAGGGTGGGTGGGCTGATGAAAGGAAACGGAGCACAGATCCTCGGGCCTTCCAAAGTTATCAGGGCTGAGCACCTGAATCCCACTGCTCTGGGATGGGGGCTGTACACCTCGCTGCCCTTCACACCTCTGGATTCCTCTTATGAACATGAGGGCTCACATCTGCCTCTGCTTTCCTGAGTTTACTCCCAGGTTTGAGGATGGCCACCTCGGTGATAGCTCTGATGCTGCAATCCAGCAAGGGGAAATGAAGCCTTTCTGTACTTAGGAACAGTTTTACAGCGCAAGTAGGAAGCCTCTAAACTTTATCACAAAGAAAAAAAGTGATTTGGAATAGGTAAACAAATGTCCACATCCAGCTATAAACCAAACTACTGAAAACCATCAAGGGATTTTGTTGTCACTTTAGAAGCTGCTCAGCAGTAAAGAGCTGCACACAAAAAAACTCCAGCTATTAAAGGAAGGGTGCACAGAAAGGTATGTGCCCTAAGATTAATGCCGTCGAGTCAAAGAAAAGCTGTTATTTTTGACATTTTGACATAGCATCACTTGAGGATCTGGTTCTTATTAGCCTTTTCTGTGCCTTTTAAAGCTCTATTTTTTTTTTAACCAAAAATGTCAGGAAATTTGGAACAGAAACTTACAATAAAACACGTCCCTTGACCCTCTGATCTATCAATCTTTCAAATAAACAAAGATAGCTGGATGAGCCAGGAAAAGGTTATTATATATAGTTACCTTATGTACACTGGTCAGGCATTCGCTGCACACACTGAGGTTACACAAAATCCCACGTAAGCAAAGCATTTCGTGCAAGACTTGTGCCACAAATGCCACGTGGTACCCAGGGTGGCTTCTTTTTCTCATTTCGTCCCACGACCTTCAAATTTCACACCCCGCGTTATTTATAAATGAGACATTCAAGAAACACAAATTCTCAAATAGAAACGCGCGCTCCGTCAGTGGAAAAGCAAACAAAAGGAGCTAATGTAGTGTGGCTAAAAAAATTTTCAAACAAAGCAGCAGTAATTTACTGCCGTGCTACTAACGGGACCCCACAAATAGAATCCGAACCCTGAGCCCCGTCGGGGGAGCCTGATTTACCCAATATCCCCCAGATAATAAAGGAAAATAAAAAGGTAAATTGTGCATGAATGCGAAAGCTGTAATTCTTCCCCTTTCACCACACGTATCAAATTCACATCCAGTGATTTCAAAAGAAAATCTGGAAATCTCTAAAGGACTGAGGCTGAAGTCAGGAGGCCCCGACCCGCCCGGCTTTGTCCACGGTTGCTTTTGTTGATGTTTCTTAAGATGTAGTTTGCCTAAGAGTTAAATTCTCCCCAGGCCATCAGAAGGATTTTCTCTATGAAGACTCGAGGCCAGGGCATATCCCTGCCTGGAAGGAACTGTTGAGCCGACAGCTTCAGCATGGGTTTGTCAGCATGGATGGCAAGGCTGCCTTCTCCAAAAGTCACTGATGTGCACAGTCCTGTGCAGGGTAGCACTGCAAACACTGCAGCTCTCCATGCCCTGCTTCACCCTGCCCTGGTCATTTTCTGCTCTAGGCTGCTCCTCGCCATGCTTTGCTACAGGTGATCCTTGTACTGGTGTGCCTTGGAATGCATGAAGATAAATCCCAGCTTCACCTCGAACCACCACCAGTGGATTTGGGGCACATTCTGCAAAATCCTGCCTCCTGCTGCCCTCTATTTGGGGAATGATTGCTCTCTGCACTGAGCTCTGTGCCACGCAGAGCTGAGAGCAGCAGGGAGCTGTGAGCCCAAGCTTGTGATGGCAGATGTCTCAAAATGAAAACGGATCCCAAGCCCTGAATCATTCCAGTGTTTTATACTGGTTTATCAAAGCAGATAGGCCATGAAAAGGCAAAGGAATATACGCAGGATCTGCAGATCTCACAGGGACAGGTTTTCTTTCCAATCTGATGCAAGGAAAAGCCAACCCTTCCATCACCATTTGGTTCCATCAGAGAACCAAAACCTCATGGTAAATGCAAAACTTTCTTGGACCAAGAGCTGGAGCCTGGCTGACACTGGGGAGGTGACGCACAGGTACAAAGAACCAGGAAACCAGAGAGTCTTAAGCAGCAGGAAAGCAGAGCCCGTCCCTCACAGCACCGTGCCCCAAACACAGCAGTGGCTGTGGGGTCTCCCAGCCAAAGGGGAACCTCAGGCAGCAAACCTGTGGCAGGAGGCTCACATCCTGCCTCCTCCCTCTGGGATGGGCTTTTCCCTCCCACCAGGCCCCCTCTCTTCTCCTGAAATACGCTTATTTCTCCTTATATAATTAAATACTTATTTGATCGCGTTTTCATTTCTCTTTTCCCTCGTGGCAGTCCCTCTGCGCACCACGATTTACCAACTTGGAAAAGAGGAAAACGCTCATAGCTACGTTTCTCTTATTTTAACAGTGATTATTTTTTATTTTTATGCATAGTTTGTTTGTTTTTTTAAGGTTTTGGTGAGAAACCACCTCCTCCCTCCCATCAATCGTTGCTTTCAACAGCTCTTCACGGGTGGCTGCGTCTCTTTTAAATTCATTTCCTGTTAAAAAGAATAAACAGGCAACTGTTTAATGCTGTCGATTTAGCTTATTTAATAGAAATTGAAACCTGAATAGGGCTCAGTTGTAAGATAATCGCTGCAGAACTCTCCGAGGTAGGGAAAGCACCATATTAAGTAATTATTTCAAAATGCAGAATATTGTTTAACGAGCCCACGAGCTGTTCCTCCTCTCCAAACGCCGAAGGCGTGTTCAAGGAAGACATGCTTATTTCCACAAGACAGCAGATAGAGTTAGAGCCACTTCATGTGGACAGCTGCTTAATTGGGAAATCTGGCTGGAAACCGCTTTCATGTGGTGAACTTAATAGGCTTTAAAATAAGTTTTACTGGGCCGCCCGCATGACCTCATGGCTGACTGCAGCAAAGACAAGTGGATGTTGATGCCTCCAGACGCTTGCTTGCAAAAAGAAATGGAAACAAAGTGCATGCCTCTATCAGCGTGTGCTGCAGTGTATTTTGCTTTCCGTATGTGAGGGTTTCAAAGACCTTCCTGAGAGATGGCAGCACCCACATGAAAGTCCTGCTTTCATGGGCAAGACAAGGCATGTGTGCCTCGTTTGGCCTGTGGGCACACAGAGGAACCTGTCCCTCTGACTAAGCTTTTTGGGCAGCAAATGCATTTTAATCACATATGTAAATCCATGTTTAGGTGTGTGAGCTTAAAGCTGTCTAAATGCTAATCAGGGCAAGCAAAGGGGCCGGTAATCCCCCAGGAATGCAGGATTCAGCCCAGCCACTGATAATTGCTGCATTCCAGGTGGATTAGAAGTGTGAAACTTCATTTTACCTGTTTCTGACAAAATAACTCAGCAACAGGTGCCATGAAATTAACACGGAAAATGTTCTGATTGTGAACACTTGAGGGCAGGCTCAGTGCCGCAGCAGAAGCTACAGGTTTTGGTTTGAGCAACAGGATGGTTCAGTGCCCAAAACTGCTCACTGGGACATCCAAACCCTGGTTGGTATAGCCTTAGGTACTTTGGTGATTGTAGGGGTTATTGGTGATTGTAGGGATTGCAGCAGACACAGAACACAGAGGGTCATTCATGCAGTGCATGCTGCCTGCAAGGACCTTGCTCTGCTCCCCAGCTCAGTCAGTCAAACAAAGGATGGAGAGTGCTCACATGGAGGGCCTAGCCAAAGTACGAGTGAAAAACCACCCTGATCATAAGAAAACATTTGACACAAAACTCTAATGAGGAATAATAACAGGAAGTTACTGGGGGTTATTTTTCAGCTCAGCTCAGATTGGATTTGCTGAAAAGTTACACTACCACTACTTGGTGTCATTTGTGCATCTTTCGCTCTGGGCTTTGGCTGGAGGCACACAACTTCCCCTGTGACACAGAGTGAACCAACTGCAGGTCCTTCATCAATCAAACCAGTGGGGTTCACCATGGAGAATGAAGAATACATCACCAACAGTGGTTGGCAAAGAATATTTCTTTTGCCTCGACAAGGTATGACCCCGACTTCTGTGACGAGGGACCACAAACCTGCCCTGTAGGTAAATGCTGCCCGGAGAACTGACATGTAACTGCTTTCAGTGAAAGAGTTAACCACCAGAACTAGAGACTCCCTTCATATTTAGTACAGAAAACACATTTATGTTTCAACATAAAACTTTATGCACACATGTTCATACAAAGCAGTAACAAAACGCAGACTATGAGATTTGGACAAACAGTCCGTGGCAGAACTCCATGATGGGAAACGTCAGTCTAAATAGTTAATGGTTGACAAAATTATATGCAAATGGAAAGAGAGTGTCTGACAAATGGAACAGATAGTGAGGTGAGCAGCATCCTCCTCCGTGAACGGTGCATTAGAAGGGTTTCAGAGAGCATACTGACTCAGAAGCTGCAGGCTTGGAATACAGGCTGGAGGAAGCTAAGCAGTTTGGGTTAAAGAGCTGGTGGTGCATACTTTACAAAATGAAGGGGAATAAGGAATATATCTCTTTTTCTCACTATACCCTCTTTAGAGAGCTCAAAATCACACATAATTACCACTTGCAAATGTATTTTTCCCTTCTATTGACTTAAAGCCTTTAAAATTCATAATAAAGCACAATGAGACAAAATGACTCTGCCCGATGCTTGTTAACTTTGCTTTCAGAGCCTAAGATCCACCAGACAAAATGTCAAGCAGTTCATAAACCAGCAGAGCTCACATCTTGAAATGCTTTTCCCATGTGGAACATTTTACTGGAACAAGAAACGAACACAGCAATCTCCAGGAATCACAGAACTGCACATAATTAAATGTCAAATGATCACAAGGCAAACAAGGCTTATCTTAAATGCTCCCTCATCCCTTTGTTTGTTGATTTGGCCGAGTCAAGAAGAATTATTAGGATTTTAAAGTCTGATTTCACATACTTGTACATTTTCTGTCCACTTACCTTTATCTAGCTCACTTGAGATGTTCCATGATGACGTAGGCATGAAATCAACAACCACGGATGAATTTGCTCCTGGAAGAGAAAAACAGAAAAAAAGAATGCTGTTACTTTACCAGTTCTGTATCATGAAGAGTTGTAAAAGGCATTTGTGAATTTGCTCTCGCAGTAGTAAAATTATTTGAAGAAAACCAGTGATTAAAATGCGCCCGATGCTCTGTGTTGGCAGCTGAAACATATGGGCAGCAGAAGCAGCGAAGTGGAAAAAGGCACAGGGCCAGGACTGGAGCTTGTTTGGCTGCGCTGTCACCGGGAGGCCTTGTGTTAATCAAGCAGCCAAGCTCTGAGATGTGCTTGGCCCACCTTAAAGTCCCTCCCTGGGTTTTTATAGAGCTAGAATGACTGCACAGTGCTGCAGCTAAGAAAAACACGGTGCTCTGAGGCTGCTGAACATGTTATCTACTAACATTTACAGAGATTTTAATCCTGTGAACCCATGAGCACAAGAAAAGACACCGTTTATGCACCGAAGGTAACAGGGCTGCTTGTATGAGAAACTCTCATGCAACTCATGTAAACGCAGGCCTCAGAGACTGGTCTGAACATCAGAAGCATCTCTTCACTGCTGCTGGGATTGAACACACATGTATCTGAGAGGTGGGAAAGCTGACCCTGCCCCTGGCTGGATCTCCAGCACCAGCAGATGCACAGAGATGCTGAGCAGCACCCAGAAGGAGAACGTTGTAGAACATTATAAAGGACATTGCAGAATGCATCATTTTTATTTTGGCACCGTCCTTCAAGTCCAAAGCAACCTCAGTGCAAGGATATCCAAAGATGTCCTGCTTTTATTTGATCGGTGAGCAACTTTCGAGTTCATTAAGAAATCACGAGCAAACTGTAAACACAATGTCACACAAACGCACGCGGCAGTTCAGTTCAGATACAGCCACTGCACTTTTTATAAATATCGTCTTTCTTAAAAGCCCACCTGGTAGCACTGCTTATTTAAGGCTCTGTCAAGTATTTCCAATGTAAACACAGAACCTGCAGCCATTATAACTCACCTACGAGCGCAGGCCCCGGCCTGTGCAGATGCGCAGGGCACAAACCAACTGATGGGGACAGATCCTGAGCCCCTGTGCAATGAATGGCATTGCTCTGAAGCTACCCACGATGCAAGCCAAGACCTTGTCCCACTGTGTCTGTTCCTCTACATCCTTTTTTTTTTTTTTCCATTTTATTTTCTGTATTATTTAATGTCTTCGTGCAGCACAAGCTTTCCCAAGCTATTGCCATCTTTCCCACTGCTATGGGTGCAGCAGCAGAGCCGAGCTCCTGCTGTCTGTATTAGCACTGCTGTCACTTCAGATGTCCCTACAACCATGCATACCTCTTGGGGCTTTTCCAAACACTACTGGCACAAATTCCCCTCCCGCTGTATTGCTTTTAAGACACTTACTCTCCAGACACTTCAGCCTCTTAAATAACCCAAATGTTAGGGACTGGGGGCTCAGCAACTTGCCAGGCTGAAGGAAAGCAGCTTGGAGCAGAGCTCAGTGGTGATGGCAATCACTCAGCAGGATGACACCATAGCCAATGGCACCAGGACTTGAAATTTTGGGTATGTGACAAATGAGCAGTGGGCCAAACATCCAACAGGACGTGGCTGGCGGGACGCTCAATCTCTGCCTTGTCCTCCCATCCCTTCTACCTGAGAATGGAGCAGCTCCAAGAGTGTTCGTATCAATTTTTTTCTTGAACAGCCTTTGGAAGCGTGATGGTAAACCTCCCAGAGCACACAGCCATCGCCTGATCTCCAGGAGGAGTCACACTACAACACCAGACACACTCACTTTTGCCCAGGAGGTAAAGCCACTGTTTGTGAGATGGCCTTATGCATCACTAAGGCAATTTTCTAATACTCCTGAATTAAAGCTCTGATTTCAGAGCAAAGTATTTCTATGCCCTCAGTAAACACTTCATAGGACTGAAAGGAACACACTGAGCAGCCACACAGCATGGGGACATACCATTAATTCTAAGTTAATACAGAAAACAAAAGTCACCAAGCAAACAAAGAGGGGAGGGGATCAAAGCCTTGAGCTGCTTCCCCCCAGAAGCAGGGCTGCCTCCTGCTGCACCTCGCTCAGCAGCTCTGCCTCCTTCAGCAAAATGCATTCAGAGACCAAGCAAGGCTTTTTTTCCTTTGCGTTTGTGACATCAAGTGACTGTGCTCTCAAATGCACAGAAAAACTCCCAGCTCGCTTAGGAAATGCCTCCTGGGCTTGGAAAGCTCTTATAGAAAGTGTCCGAATTACATCTTGTAAAGTGATGTTTGATCACCTGAACCACAGCACACCCCAGCAGCAGCTACAGGAACAGGGATGGTGTGCAAGGAGCAGCTGAGCCCTGTGCACATGAGCACACCTCCTTACTGCAGGAGGGTTACATGGGTTGTTTCAGCCTTCACCACACTTCAGAGTGGTTTGCAAAAGCCTGTTGGAGAAAGGTCCATTAATGCAAGTGGCAGAGGCCCATCATCCAGGTAAGATTTCATTTTGGGATGAAGAATCCTAACGCACGAAAGTTAAAGATCTGTTCAAAACTCTGTCCCAATGAAGAAATGCTGGTCACAGAATCATCACAGAATCCTAGAATGGCCTGGGTTGCAAAGGAGCACAACGCTCATCAGTTCCAACCCCTGCTATGTGCAGGTTGCCAACCAGCAGCCCAGGCTGCCCAGAGCCACATCCAGCCTGGCCTTGAATGCATCCATGATCATAAGTTAATGAGAAATCACAACAGTCAATTAAAACCTCTGTGAAAAGCCAAGCAAAGTGTATTCAAATCTCCTCCCCACAGAGAAGTTGGCTAACATCTGACTTTATTACCATATTGCCCAAGTGCCAAGCGAATTTCACACAAGTCAGTCATTTGAAAGCCTTTGTGATTAAATAAACTTCAATAAGGTTTACAGAAAGCTGCCCAGGAAGAAGAACTGCAGAGCCTGTCCTTATCGCAGGCACACACCGCTGCCTCATTTTCTCACCATGAGCAGCCATCATTCAGGGGCTGTGTCTGCACCACAGGGCTGCAGCCCCAGCCAAGCACAGGGCAGCCTCATCTGCTGCCCCACAATGAAAGGAGACAATCCAGGCCCTGTGTCCGGGCTAATTAATATCTCTACACCGTGCATTTGTAACATGAAGGAAAGAGAGTAAAAGTCAAAACAGGAAGAAGGCAGATAGCTAAGATGACACCAAACCCAGAAATGATTGAAGATTTTAATGGGAAATAAATCTGCTATAGAGAAACAAAGCAGAGAGCAAAATAAGTCTGCAAATGTGGATGTTTTGCTTGCAAGGCAGCAGGAGCAATGTACGAGGGCTGCATGTTTGCACTGCTTGCTTTCCTCCTGGCTGCACAGAAAGAATCCCACGCTTTGTAGCAACCCTTCTTCTTGAGGCAGAAGATATGCCTACTTAAAGCAAACACAAACAAAAATCAAAACATTTACGTAATGGGCAACCCCTGTTATGTGTCATACCTGCGGGTCCTTCTACACCCTCATTACATGCCCTAAAGAAAGTCTGGATTAGCATTTTCTTCTACGAATGTGACTGCAATATCTGCAACCCACATCTCACTGTGGGATACCCAAAATAGCAAAAAGACCGTGGAGGTATTTAAAGTAGCCAAGGAGCTACGGATCTGTGTAATAAAATAAACCATGCAAAATTAAACTAAATAAAAATGAAGTTTTCCAGTTGCAAATCTCTTCTTGAAGCTGCTTAGGAATCCTGTGCTGAGTGAGATTTGTTATCCTCTGAAGGAATTTGCCTAAGGAAGTGATAAAACCCAGATTGCACAAGACACTAAGAACAAGATGGGGCAAGGCATTCCCACACATACCATTGGGAAGCTGTCCCATGCCAACAGGAAGGTCAGCACTCATTTGGGCACCACTGTTTGGCCAAATCATTGGTAAATGTTACAGCAGCATCAGCGTTCCTTAAAAAGCTGAATTAAAATCTTCAGAAAATAGTCTCCTTTAGCTGTATTACTTGAAAGTAGTATGGAGATAACAGGAATTGAAGGTAAGATGATACAGAATGAGAGTGAACCCTAATTATACCAAGTATTCAGAACTCTTTGCTTTTCTGCACATTCCATATCTCTTCACCTTTTTCTTTGTCTGGTTCCTACATGACTGATCCGTTCCAACATCTCCCCACAAAGATGCCCTCTGGCTGTTCTCTTAGCCCTATCTCCACCATCTTTTTTCCTGCAGCTCTCACTGTTTCACTGCTCCTCTCAAAGCTCCCCACACGTTTTCATTTCACCTCCCAAGACACTGCATTTTGCAATCCGCCCATCACCAACCCATCCACAGCCCACCCTGGAGGTGCTGAAGGAAATCGAGACACACCTGCTGCAGACTGTAATGGATACGACCCATTATTCACTAATTTTCTTGTCTGTTTAATTGGCACCATCCTGAAATTTCCATAACGTAGACCTCAAATACTGCTCATATCTTTAATGTAAGAGTGGATTCTATTTCCATGACATGAGCGTCTCTGTGTGTCAGTGGACATGTCTGCATTGCTCAATTCTTGCTGTTCAAAAGGAGGCAGGAATCACCCAAATCCCCGTCAGCGGGATGAGGCAGAACTGCAGTGAAGAGGGGAAATTGTTGAGAGCTTTTCTGCCCTTCAGATAGGCCAGGTGTCTCTCAAGGTGAACTGACTGCCCTTATGCTTCCTTTAACAATATGTCACAGAATCACAGCATGGCCTGGGTTGCAAAGGAGCACAACGCTCATCAGTTCCAACCCCCTGCTGTGTGCAGGTCACCAACCAGCAGCCCAGGCTGCCCAGAGCCACATCCAGCCTGGCCTTGAATGCCTGCAGGGATGGGGCATCCACAGCCTCCTTGGGCAACCTGTGCCAGTGCCTCACCACCCTCTGGGGGAAAAACTTCCTCTTCATATCCAACCTAACCCTCCCCTGTCTCAGTTTAAAAACATTCCCCCTTGTCCTATCACCATCCACCCTCGTAAACAGCCGTTC